ACCTCCTGGCGCCCGCGCCACAGGCGCCGGTGATCTGAGGTATTTTGGCGCTGTAGCGCGGGCGCCAGGAGGTTTCAGGCTGAGCGGATGTGATATTCGTGTTCAGGAGGTCAAACTACCCCAGGGTACAAATTTTCAGCCAATTCTGCCGACGCAGAAAAAAGTCGGTCAGAAAACTGGCCTGTTTTCGGAAGATTGGGGCAGTAAAGGGTAAATAGTGCCGAAGGTTCTTCTGTGCTCCTCCTGGGACGCGAGGGGGATGCTGCAGAACGAGCTGCCCTGTAAGAACACACGGTCACCGCTACCATTTGTGTCGCTCAGCTCCTGAAACCGGTGGAAGTTGTTGGAGAAAAATGACCGAGACTAGCTTCGGTCACCTCGTTCGTAGTACACGAGACCCCATACCTGCTATGAAGACCTACCAAATAATTGAGGAGCAAGGCTGGAAGACCAGGCTTAGGTGAGATCCAGTTCGCGGAAGTGAAACTCGACTTGTCTGGTTACTATTCTAACTCCTCTCGGAGCAGGCTTCCATTAGGCATCAAGATCTAATCTCTACGAGGTTCAGTTCATGTCTACTTCCTCACCTGACTGCTATATCTGCCCCGAGCTTATCAGGCATTTCCTATGAATACCAGGAATTCCAACGTTGAGAAATCTATCAGCACAGTTTTTCGCCCAAGGGTCAACAGGTCAGCTGATAGAGAACCTTTTAACCTTATTTGGTACAATCAGATACGCTCCTCATCCCTAATACGGAATAGGCGTGGCACTTAAACATGGCATAAGAGGGGTCACTCGTGGGATATTCCAACTTGAGGCAACTGTTATCTTGCTCTCTGGTGGACAAAAGCATGGCCACAATTGCCTCGAAATGAAAATATCTCACCAAAACCACAGTCGCCCCCATGTTCAATTGACGCAGCCACGCCCACCGCATCTCAGGGATTTCGAGTGTATGATACTTAATGAACTTTGATAACGCAGGCGAAGTCACAGTCGTTTTCGCTGCAGACGCTAGGCGTACCAAGAAGGCTGGGTTTGGAGCGGCGCCAGCCCGTTCCCACCAATGACAAGACAGGCAAGCGAAGACAATTGGTGGGAAATGGGCTGACACAGCGTCGAAACCGCAAGAAATGATTACTCGTCCTGAAGCGGACAGACGACTATATTCAGCTCAGTGGCACGTGCTGTAAGTAAAAACCACACCGAAAAAAATAGGAAAGCATCAGTGGTCCCTCAGGGATAGCTATCCACGCGAGGTATTCCTTACGAGTGTTATCCCGTGCTATCGTAACGAACAGACAATGGGCGTTTATCGTGACGAACAGAAATGCTGGTTGCCCTGGCGGCTAACGTATTCAGGAGGGGCCACACTCTGGTCGTCTGCGCGCCTTCTGAGTCTGAGCCTGGAGAACTAATACATTTCTACCTCGAGTAAGTGTAACATAGTTTTCCTTGACGTTCGCCGGCAGCTACCAGTGCGAATGCAGCGTACGGCACCCCCCCCCCCTTGCAACGCCTTCAAGGATTCATATCACTACCTCGGTGGAAGGAAGAGGGCAGACGACCAGAGTCGCCGCCGCCCCCTCCCCTCCACCCCAACTGTGTTGACGCCGTTCCTCTTTTCGAAGAATGATGTGAAAAAGAGACCAAATGTGACCACTGGTCGTTAATTAGATTATGCACTCTTGTCACTTCTACTCAGCGGAAAGGACGTATTGATCCTAACCTCCTACACCAAACAGCAAGGGACGTAGCCAGTTCACCACTTCAGTTACACAGCACTTCTTCATAGGTTTATTCGAAAGAAGGAGAATATATAGCTGGTAAATAAACAACAGCTGTACAGGGTCAGACTCTCTGCTGAGCGCTGGGTTCAACTCTGCTCGGTTGATCCTAAGCTTCGATGAATCTGACCGCCAACACATTTGCTAAAAGTATCATAACTATATGTAACAAATTCAAGAGACAGACTACAAATATGTGTGACTAAAGCATGACGTCGCATAGAACGAAAGAAAAAAAATCGATGAAAAATTGATCAACAATTCAATCAATAGGACAACATACGTTGTGAAACTCCCTCTCTAGAACTGGGCTGCGAGCGAGACCGATTAGATCGATAACAATAGAGATCAACGACATGTAATGTCAAATGCTTCTCGACACATACACACGCAGAGACAAAGAGTTGATTAGCGAAAACCACGAGATAACGACGTCATAGAAATCACTAATCGATAAATCGTTAACAAGAAAAACAATCGATTAAACGGACTCCATATGTTGTAATTAAAGCAACAAAAGTTTCAAGATTAAAACATACATAGCAAGTTAAGATGTCGCAATCTTGCGATCCTTCTCGCAGGGAAACGAACAAGACTACCGTAATTTGTCGTGTCGTCGCGCGACAACTCGTCCGTCCGGGCGCGGCATCGCTCGCCACGCCCACCAGTGCGGCAAGTTACGACTTGTCTTATCACATACCCCTTCTCGGATCGTACCATAGCACAAACGGAGTTCTGCATGGAGGCATGGGACATCACTTCCTTGCAACATGCAAAGTAGGAAAGCACTTCCTAGCTACTTGATTCGACACACTTCCCTGGTGCGAATGTCGCGCGCGACGCAACGTGGAACTCTGCATTCGCCGGATGTGACGCCCCACGCCCTCTATGGACATTTCAGCTATGCACGCCACTGCAAAAATTCTCTCTGTCGCTGACACAACGACCAGCCAAGGAATGAATGATAAGGAAACGATATCGCAGCCCAGAAGGAAGAAAATATTCTATGACAAAAGAAAATCGATTGCTCTGCAAAACTAGCAAGAAAAAGATGCTTTGAAGACGAAATAACGAAATACCTAGCAGTGAAATGAATACACAAAATTTCAAGTGTTAGACACTACACAGATATACTTCAAAAAATAAAAATTAAATGCTCATCTCCAGAAACAGTAAGTTAAACAGTAACATTTGAACCAATTGAAAAATAGAAATCGATAAATCCAACAAGTTACGAGCCACTGCAGTCCAAAGCGTCAAATTTTTATGCCCAAGGCCACCGTCGTAAGAATCAGGTGGTCACAACTGAGGCAACATTCCGCGTTCATCGTATGGGAGGAGTCACTTGTCAACTGCCCTGCTTCCATTTGTGTGATCTGATCCCTTTTTTCGTCTTAAAAAGAAACGCCCACCAATGAAAAACGCATGTCCATCTGATTCTACAGTACAGTTGGCGAGGAATGTGACTTTAAGTCCGCGTTGCCTGCGTCTTGACAAATCTTTGATGGGCTACTGACGCTTTTCCAGGGCAGTGGTGACTTCTTGCTGATTTGGCTCTGCTATTTAACAGTCAACAGAAAAAGATATCATCGAATTTGTGCTTTTGCATAGCGAAGACGTCGAGCGAGACTGCATTATCTGGCGAATGCTGTGCCGGCTACACTATGAAGCTAGCGTCACGAATGGTATGACAGAGAACGGTAGCCAGACATGCATGCCACATGCAGTCCATATCACGGCTTCTGGGGAGGAGTGTCACGGGCTCAGTTGTGAGCCCAGTGGCGGTGAACTGCTGCAGGCCGAGGCATAGACGCAGACAGCGCTCACGTAAGAGAGCGCAGATGCACAAGAATCCGCTGACGCTCTGACCCACTTGGCTGGACCGTCAAATGCCTACATTGCAACCACGCCACTCTATGTCGCGGACACATGTCTTTCTATCGTGGTATAACGCTGAGGATTGTCCCGCCCTTCTCGGGAACACCACCCCACGTTTTTTCACTGGCAGTTGATAATTGTTCGGCAAGTATAAATGCAGCCAAAGCAACGAACATGAAGAGCGCGATAACATGCAAAAGTAGTCAACCATAAGTGATAGGAATGGATAAAAGAAAGGATCTGTTCAAGGTGATTTGTCATGGATTACAGCACTTTTAACAAGAATCTCTTATAATGCTGACGATATCAACAGAAGTAGCACCGAGCTATATAAGTAAAATGAGAGATCTGCACTTCT